TTTTTTCGGGGATTATTCATTCTATCATTTTCTTGCTGCTTTTTACTTCTTCGACAATGAGATAATTTGATCAGTTTGCTTTTCTTCCAACTCTCTGCACGCTTATGTTAATCCCCAATGGGTTTTATTTGTCGAAGTGAAGTCGATTCATTGTTCTTCAACTGAAAAAATCCAAAAAGAAAAAGTTTTTCGAGTCGAGTTGAAATCTTTTGTGATCTGTGATCATTTTCGCCCAGTTCAAATCAAATCTTGACTACTTTCTCTTAGTCATTCGGATTTCCTCGTGAGTTCTTCTCAAACTTCTCCTGCATCTCGCATGCCCTTGTGGTACCGAATAAAAACCCGAATACAATCCACCTAACACATACAAAATGATTTATTCCCCGTCCACCCCTCAACACCACAACCAGCAATCACTATGAAGTGAAAGCAATTTTACCAGCAGCAGCAGCAGCATCAATAATAGCACTCATCATATGTATCGCCAAAGCATTTTTATTTAATTCTCCTCAAACGGAATGATGATGACCTGAAACCAAATGCAGGAAGAAGTCATCCCCGTCATCTTCTTCGAGAAGTCAAAAGCAAATTCTGATGGTACCACCAGAGTCGTCGACGGCACGTTTGTGTGATGTGGAATCGAGTGATATTGTCACCACAACAATATTCAGTAGTAATTCATCGTCAGGGGGTGATGTTCAACTGAATGCGGCTTACAATAATAAACGAGCCACCCAAAAGGAGAAGGATCTAATTGCAGCGATTTCATGGCGACGTATCATGTTGTTGATTGTTGCCGTTACTGTGCACAACATTCCGGAAGGTTTAGCGGTCGGTGTAGCATTTGGTAGGTTGTATTGGCACGTCTCATATGTACCAAAACATTTTATTTCATTCTCCTCAAACGAAATTCAAATGAGGTGGAATTAAATGCAGAAAAGAAACATGCTCATCGCCTTGTTCACCCTCATCAAAAAATAAAAACTATCCTCATTATCGAAAAATCATCAGTTATCATTATTGCTCGCATGTGGATGATATGATAATGAGGTCGTGTTTGTTTCAGGATCGATTGGCAAAGCCCCGAAAGCAACATTTGAGTCAGCTTTTAATTTAGCACTCGGCATTGGACTGCAGAATTTCCCAGAGGGTCTTGCAGTATCGTTGCCATTGGCTGCGTTTGGTCACAGCAAATTCAAATCCTTCATATACGGTCAACTTTCAGGTAAGTATATCGCATGCAGTCTCGGCAATTCCCGTAGGGGATTTCCAGAAGTTTGGGGAGTTCTCCGAGAGGAGGGAGGGATTGCATGAGAAATATGGTGCCACAAGATTTGTTTTTTGGGGGAGGATCACTGAATTTTGCTCACTATCATCAAATCGATGTTCAAGCTACGGATAAATTTCGCCAAGTGGATGGTGCATCAAT